GATGGTTGAGAGACATGGCGCGTTACGAACAGCATTTCCAACAAACTACAAATATTCATCAGCGACTGCTTACGCTGGCTCGTTACTCAAGCTCAGATGGCCAGAATAATAGGAGTAAGCAAGAAGGAACTCTGGCTGGCTGACTGGCAACGAAGCAGCGAGGCAAGAAGCTATTGCTTAACAAATCTGCACTGGAAGGAAGTGGAGATAGATTGAGCATACACTGAGAAGACCGACTGAGGACATCAGGCTCCAGGCAAGGCTGTCGAGTGGAACCCAGATGAGAAACGATGAGTTGGGCGTTCCAACTGACAGTGACCTGGAAGAGATTGTGTGAGGAAGCAATGAGAGCTTGTGGGCTGTTGTGGTGCCAGGTTGAAAAGATTGCAGAGAAGAGAGTGGAATGGAGGCGTGCTACTGAAGCCGTATGTCCTACTAGGGACCCAAAGGACAAATAATAAGTAATAATAATAATCTCAGCGTGCGCTTAGAAAATGGAGATAGAGTATATCTGAACATTTCACTGTGTAAGTCATAGCTTCTTTTGCTTAATGTGCGGGTTTTTACTGGCATCAAAATATATAGTCACATAATACATCAAATATTTAGTGAAGGTATGTCGTTGGTTGGGCGGTTTTTCTGTCCAATATGAGTAATCAAGATTAGTCAGCACAAGTTCATACTTTTTATTTTCATATGTTGATTTGTGTGTATATTAAATGTGTGTTTTAGAATGTGTTGTTTCTTGTACTTTCATTTATAAACCGTCAATAATTATCATATCTAATGTGGCTTTAATTAGAAAAGGTTATCAATAGTGGTTTATATCATTTTGCCTACCAGAGACAGCGGTGATTTGGCAGACCTATATATTTGTACTGGATGATGACTGAAGGAGGGATGAAAGTTTGGCCTGAGGTAGGAATTCATGAATTCATATGGTAGTCAGGCAAAACCCTTGGTGACTGAAGTGAAATAAAAACGTTATTAGCCAGTCACCTGGTGGTCGTTAGCTCGAATTCGACGACGATCAAATTTTTCATTCACCTTCAATCATCACGTAGTATCAATATTAATATACCAAACTATGGCTATCTCAGATGGTCACTATGGTGATCAACATGATGCTGTCCCTCTCTAGGTCAGTTAGTAGGACACTAGGCGGGAAATCTGGTGGTCGCTGGTTCGAAACTGACCATGTTCCAAATTTTCATTTCACCTTCAATCATTACCGAATATTAACGGTTGTGTTGGATTCATGTTTACCAAAGAGGTGACAATACTATTCCTTCTTCTCTCTTGAGAGTATTTGATGTTAAAATATGTAGAGCTTCTAAAGTTGGTCTTTCTTTATGCTAATGGAAACTTTTTCACAATAAGTCTACATTCGCAAAATTAATCATGTATCCACTTTCGATTGTATGCATAGTTATTAGTGATCACATTTTAAAATCTTTTTAATTCACTTTGATTCATGGTTGGCTGTTATGTAGATAACTTGTGCTACTTAACTCTAACTTTTAAGGGTTTACAACTTTCTTCAACATGATTAGATTCACATTACTATCATTATTTATTATTTGTCCTTTGGGTCCCTAGTAGGACATACGGCTTCAGTAGCACGCCTCCATTCCACTCTCTTCTCTGCAATCTTTTCAACCTGGCACCACAACAGCCCACAAGCTCTCATTGCTTCCTCACACAATCTCTTCCAGGTCACTGTCAGTTGGAACGCCCAACTCATCGTTTCTCATCTGGGTTCCACTCGACAGCCTTGCCTGGAGCCTGATGTCCTCAGTCGGTCTTCTCAGTGTATGCTCAATCTATCTCCACTTCCTTCCAGTGCAGATTTGTTAAGCAATAGCTTCTTGCCTCGCTGCTTCGTTGCCAGTCAGCCAGCCAGAGTTCCTTCTTGCTTACTCCTATTATTCTGGCCATCTGAGCTTGAGTAACGAGCCAGCGTAAGCAGTCGCTGATGAATATTTGTAGTTTGTTGGAAATGCTGTTCGTAACGCGCCATGTCTCTCAACCATCACATAGAAGCACTAACTGACTTGACTGAATTGGTGTTGGGAATTCCGGATGTTGTTCACGCCTTGTGATGAGTGCAGAAGATGTCCACACTGATTTCAGGTTAATGAAGGAAGACCTGTCTTGCTGTCTTTTCGATGCTGGCTGTTTTGATGTCCTCGTCCTCGTGTGTGCCTGTGCCACCTGTAGTTGAAATGATGCTGCCTAGATAGATGTATGTGAAAGAGGCTACTTCCGTTAGGTTTCTCCCATTGATGGTGATTGGAGCTTCTTGTTGTTGTTGGTGGTGGTGTTGATGGTGGTGGTGATGTTGTTTGGGTATCTTCATCACCTCTGTCTTCTCTACACTCATATCTGCAATATTTTTTCTGAAATATTCTCCATACAGTAAACGTTTTGTCAAAAAGTCATGTGAATTTGTGGTACTTGTCCAATTAAGTTTTCATCATCGGTTCCCTAGTTAAGTGCAAGTCTGACAATTCACAACAGTATATTACTTAGTAGTGGTGGATTAATTTGTTAATCAAAGTTATTTAAGTTCACTACTCTACTGATTGTCTAATAATTAACGTGAGAAGTGAAGAAATAGAGCAAACAGTAATGAGTTAACTTCAAGTAGGCAGGTAATACGAGGTGAACACGGGGAAAAAATTTATTCTAAGCTATTTTCAGTCAATAGAGGAAGAGGAACTGTAGAGGTAACAACAGAGGATGTACAATTTTTATCTCACTAAAACCATTTGATTTGTAAAGGTACAATGAAATGGCTTCTTTTATGTGTTGTAGAATAATTCATAAGCCACTTGAAAGACTAGATGATACACGAGTGTAAAAGCCTGTCTTACGTTCACTTCATTAACATTATTGAGCTTTCGAGTATCTTTGTTCATCCGTCTGATGATTTTACTGAGTCAACTACTTTGATAAATTGCTTGTTTGTAACCACATTCTAATTATTAGAATAACATTCACCGAAGACCATCTAGGCGACGTATTATTACTGAAGGTAGTTTTAGACAAAAAGTGTATAACAGTTATCCTTCTATTTTTTATTGATTTATTAGATTTATCACGTAGTGGAGGAACAGTATTGTCTACTGGATTACGTTTCTGACAATTTATCTTACCATAGTCATATGAAGATAACTACACAACTTTGAGATATCCTTTATATAGTCTTAATTACCTTGTCTCTTTGTGAGTAAGATTTTCTATATATCCGGAACAGATGCTGAGTCATTCATGTTGCTACATGTGTTAGGTGCTGATTCGATAAACAAAGATTCAGTTATCAATCTCTCCCTCCACCCTGTTATATTAGTTTTAAGGATTTTCACACTATCCCATCCTATTGTGTAGTTGTGTGTAATTGCATGCATAGCTATGTCTGAGCTTTTTTCTAAATTCCTTAACCTACCAGGATCTACCATTTTTGACCTAGCTAAGTTTTTGTGTTCCGATAGCCTAATTGATCCTGGTCGACTACTTTGACCTATACATTTGACCTCACAATCGTTGCAAGGGATTAGGTAAACTAAGTTATCCTGCTTAATTGGATCGATAGGATGTTTTAACCTACAAAGCTTATTTCGAAGTGAGTTTCTAGGTTTGAATGCCACTCTATTCCCAGTCTTATTGAGAATTCTACGTAGCGTTTCTCAGTTGACTTCTTTGTATGGTAATACTGTAGAGGTTTTGAATTCTCTATTCATAGTATTGTCGCTAATATCATTATCACTATTACTATTATTGTTTTTATTATTACTACTCTTATTACTACTATCAATAACTATGTTACTGGTATTTTTCTTACAATTCCTAAGGAACTTATCAATTAATTTGGGAGGGTAATTGTTGATGATTAGGGCGTCTTGAATGTATCTGGTTACTTGTCTTACATCTTCTGTTTTACTAGTACTTATTTTGGCCCTGTTACTTTGACACTTTATTAAGCCAACATTAACTGACATAGAGTGAGACGATTGGAATTCTAGGTAACGATTTGAATGTGAAAGTTTTCTGTAGACACTAAGGTCTAAACTCCCATCTTGTTTCCGTTTTATCCGGCAATCCAACATCGTTAATTCTCCTTCACCATTTTCTAATTTGTGTTGACTACTGAATTTATATATATGAAGAAACTAAGTGTGTGCTCCGATTTCAACAGTGTAAACGTGTCGTCTACATAGCGAAACTATATTTTTGGAGCCGGACTAAATTTTTCTACAGCCAACCGTTCCCAACTATCCATAAATATGTCAACCACAATAGGGGATATTGGTGATCCCATAACAACTCCTGTTTATTTATATATTTTATTCTGAAACCTAAATATTGTGGGAGTTAGACATAGCTGTACTCCTAGTATGATATCATCTATTGGTACCTTAGTTCGTAGTGTAAGCTCTTGGTCATTATTGAGCTCGCTTCTAACTGCTTCCACGGCCATACTAATCAGTATATTGGTATACAGACTAACTACATCAAAACTAACCATTTTTTTCATCGTAATCTAAATGTGTCATGTAATTTGTGCTTCAAGCTCATCTCACAAAGGAGGAGAGAAAATTGAGACTGTATAAAGCATATCTCAAAGTTGTGTAGTTATCTTCATATGACTATGGACAATAAATTATGTCCGAAACGTAATCCAGTAAACAATACTGTTCCTCCACTACGTGATAACTCTAATAAATCAATAAAAATGGAAATACATTCTACCACAGTGCATAAGTTTTACTCTTATATTACTAGTTATCCTTCGTTTCAAACAAAAAATCTACAGGGCTTCATGAAACTTCATTGTTATTCAATCAATGCTGTGATACGAGATAGAAACTATCTTTCAGACAGTTTCCGTTACCCCCAGAAGATTCTCTTTGTGATTTTTGTCCAACATATGTGTTTACTATTCTATAAATTGCCATCATTTTATAACTGATTTATTTCTACTCTTTTGCATTACATAGGGATGATTGTTGGTGCAATGTGTGCAGTAACTGGTGTACTGACGATTTCTTTACCAGTTCCCGTTATCGTGTCCAATTTTTCTATGTTCTATTCACATACACTAGCACGATCAAAATTGCCAAAGAAACGAAGAAGAATTTTACCTGTAGAAGCTATTCGACCAAAACATAAATCAAATTTTATGAGTGGACATGAAAGTGGTCATCACGTTGGTGGGTATATGAGTGATGCGATGGGTTTGAATAATTTAGCTAAAGGCATTGTACCACATATTGTCCAACCAATTATGAAATCTAAATACACAGGTATGTATAGACTAGAGTTTGACTGATTGTGAACACTTACTTGACAAATATGCCTAAATGACCTTGATAAATTTGAAGTTTTGCCATTATGCCACCCAGAAGAAGTCATCCTTCGATGCAGAATGTATCTAATCAGTATTGTTTTGTCAGATTCGAAAATGTAACCAAACTTTCCCAAACAATTTCCCAGTGTAGACATTAGGTCAGGAAAGTCGTTATCAGGTTGAATTTCTGTTGGTTTTATAGATACATAGGAATCAATATAGGACCAGGCATTACTACGTAACGGTCCGAGTTGTCCCTACTCATATCAGTAAATCAAGTAAAAAGGTAGTGAAGTGGGAGATGAAGAGAAGAAAATTCAGTCAAAAGAAATATAAAGTACTAAGAGAGAGAAAGGTAGAATGAGAAAATGGTGAGATTTGGTATAGCGTCGTTAAGACGAGGATAATGTGCGTGGGAATATATCTGCACCACTGACATCGGTTCTGAGCCATATCACCTAAAGTCCCCAACCGGCTGGTCTACATCGCCCTACGCGGCCCAGACCAACAGTCAAAGACTTCATACATTGATGCTATGTTTTAGTCTGGCCACTTCGAGCCTTTTTCCAGCCTGAATCCACTTCAGCCAACATTGTGACGAGGCAAACGGTGACTAGACATACGCAACACGTGTCCCAACCATCTCAGTCGATGAAGGTTCACAACCATGTCACCTGACTTATCTCTTCTCCCTGAAACTCTATGCCTGACTTCTGCCTTACTCACATAGTGAAGCCATGGAATACGGTAATAGTAGTCAAACACTTGAAGCCCTCTCATGTCTTCCACCTTCAACAGACATGTTCCCCAACCATACAGTAGAACAAAGAGGAATGCTGTGCAGTACATACGACAGTCGGATATCACGGAGGCGTCACAGGTGGTGTAAGTCGAGTCTTGCAGAAATTAACCGGCCACTGAGCCACAGGGACTGATCCCACTTCCCGGGTAAGTGAAGTGGTCAGTGCACTCAAATATCACACTCTCTGTTGATTTTAGGTACCTGCAGGTACTTATTATCAAAGCATATCGTCCACTTTGATAGAACTCTTGTTCCGTCTCTGATCTTGGTCCATAAATCGCAGTTTTTCAGTCATAGATATTCCAAGAGAATTCTTTAGTCTCAATTTAACGTAAGTGCGCTGGCTGGTAAGCAAATGTCGAATGCCATCACTTGAACCAGGTAGGCATCTGAAATGCAACAAAATGACAATGGTAGCCATCAAGGGAGATTTACGAGCCTTAAAAAATTAACACACTCGTGTAGATTAGTCGGTTAGTGTGATAAGTTTTTCATTATAATGATGACCATTATAACTCTGAACCAGTGCCTGAATGGTAAACGCATTCACCATGAAACCCCGAAGGTTTCGAGTCCGATCCATGACGGGAAGGAATTTTGAGTACGTACTCCTGAGGAGTCGCACATTAGAATGAGACGGACGCCTAGTACTCCCAAGTTTTTAATGGTTCTCTAAAAGATATCAATTCATGATAAATGCTACCTAAAAAGAAATCCCCGTCGATCTTTAGAAAGACTAGGTGGTATGCTATAGATAATCACCAAAGCGCTACACTTATCAACCAAGTAACCATTATCAACCAGAAAGCGAATAGATCTTATCTCTCCCTTTCCCACCCATGAAGGTAGATGCTCAGTGACGCATCTGTTTAAATGATTAATAGTACACTCTATAAAGTTTTCTCCACAAGAGCAGCTAAACTTGTGTATACGCATTATTATTATTTTATTATTATTTGTCCTTCGGGTTCCTAATGAGACATAGGGCTCCACTAGCAGGTCACCATCCCACTCTCTTCTCTGCAGTCTTTTCAACCTGGCTCCACCACTGCACATAAGCTTTCATTTCTTCCTCACACCATCTCTTCTATGTCACTCTTGGACGCCCAACTCATCCTTTCCCCTTTGGGTTCCACTCCGCCAATTCAGGTAACTTATATTTCGTCTGAATAACAACAATCGGTCAGCTGGAATATGATAAGTATAGTTTCACAGCTGTTTTAGTCAACATTGTCATGACGACTGTTGACGTTATTGTTTTAATACTTCCAACTTCGCGTTGCTGCTATGCTGGGTCGAATTACCCGACATCTGTTAGCAGATAGGATCGTATGTGGATACCTCGATACTACCCGATATTCATGATGTTACACTCATCTTGGTGACTCGTACTAGAATCCACCAGGCGCATTTTGTCCTATTTGGGATGTACCAGAAGCCCAGTGGGTGTTGTTCCTACTGAGACTCAAACCCAGTACCCGTCGCTTCAGATGAAAATCGTCGTCCACTAGGCCACTAGGGCATTGGAAGTTACAAGTATCCAAACAGTAACTGATACTCTTTGCGCAAGATACGGCGACTCTGCCCAAGTGGTCTAGTGGATAAGGACTTGAAGTTTGAAGCGACGGGTAGTGGGTTTGAGCCCAAGCGAGAACAACACCACTCAGTGAGGTGGAGATACATCGAGATGACCAGTCCCAAACAGCACGAACCGCATGTCCTATATTCTGCTACTAGTCACCAAGATGAATACAATGCTGAGGTTATTACCCCCATTGACCGTCAAGTCTACATGACTGATTTAATTTCTACTTATATTGAGTTATTTATATTAAAGCCTGAAAAAATTCTAATTGAAAACGATATTGTTGGCTTGTATACCTTGTTCTAACTATAAAGTGATTAATTTCTGTGCTTAATCTAGTTCTAAAGGAAGCTAACCACAGCCACGTATTAACTTCTTTTACTGTAACAGTTTATTTCGGGACTTCGAAACTGTGAATGTCACTGAGCAGAAGACATGAGTTCAGCCCTTCCTACTGATGACCTTCGAGCAACTGAAATTTTTAATAGCGTTTGTTTGACTGTGGTTTTCACGTCTGTCTTCTGAACTTAATTACCACTGACTACCGATAGTCTAAACATTGATACTAACATATTTCAGCTAGAATTTGTATGGCTGACAGAAAATCTGTCAAAAGTTCTTAGCTTGAACACTTGGCCGATTCCAACCATTCAGCTGGCGCCAACAATGAATTTAAGGTTATTTATCGAATTCACTGAAATATTCGATACTTCTTTCGACAGTCTTTCTTTTTAAGTATGCTCGTAGCTTAATTTTGTTTTATCTTTTTGAAAACATTCCTCTTTATTATTGATGCATAATGGCTAGCAGTGGAATGCAGCTTGACGAGCATTTCGTCTCATCCTAGATTCATCAGTTGGATATATCTCCCCCCCCCCTGAGAGCGATGTTGTACCTTCTAGGACTCAAGCACCAGGATGTTATCCACTAGACCATCAGGTCACAATTTAGTGTAGTCTTAGTCTTGCTGCTTGTATTATCGAGTTTCTGAGTAAAGCAAATCGATCTATGTGTGTCTATTGAAATACGGGCTGGTAGCCGGATGCCTAGATATTTCCTGTGCTCAAATTATATATTAAGGATGGACAGAAGCACGAACATTAAAACTATACCCGAAGCACAAGAAGTGAGTATCGTGACACGCTAGTCTAGTGGATGAAGCTCTGGCGTTTAAAGCGATCGGTTGTGAGTTTGAGTACTAGTGGGAACAACATTGCACACTGGTAGGCAGGCACATCCAGCCGATAAGTCCGGACGAAACGCACGTCCTGAACTCCACTGCTAGCCACTATCCATCATCAGCCTGTCGTTCAAACACAAGTAATACCAAGGCATACGCGCAACAGCCCATATGCCAATAGAGACCGATCAACTCGGTCCACTCAACGACAGGATAATGCAAGCAAAAAGATTAAAATTCCCCATTGTCAGATTAATCTTTTCACTCTTCTGCACTCTGCTGCATAACATCTTACTTTGCCTAGGGTAGATTTATGTGTCACTGTATCAAATCTTTCCAAAAATCATAATCATATTTTCTTGCACTGAGACTGGTTGAAAAAAGTGGAGAGTTAGTTCAGAATTGGAATTCTTGAGCCAACGTATACTTCCCGATCATCACCAATAATTCCATAGACAGGCCAGAAAAATTCGTCTGTATCATTCAACAAATATCGTTTTAGTTTCTTAAACACTTTGTATAGTTTTGAGGTAGTCGATATATAACTTCACATAGTTTCAACGAATATGTTTGTTTTACTTCAAGATGATTCCATAAGTATACCGCTGGATTATTTCTACAAATCAGTATTTTAAAATTAACTAGTAATTATCATTTTGACTATATGAGACAACAGCCGTGGTTTGGCAAACTTGTATTGATATTGGGTGATGAGTGAACGTGAAATGAGAGTTTGAACCACAACCAGATTCGAACCAATGACTACCGGTTTACCAACACGGTACTCTACCAACTGACTTAAGAGATCCGACTGCTGAGCAGATTTTTATTTCACTTCAATCACCAAGGATTTCACCTGACTACAATGTGAATTTGTGAGGCAATACTACCGCTTGACCGTACTCTCATTAACTGCCTAGTCAGGACTTCTCATCACAGTCCAAATCTAACTGCATTAGTCGGGTAAAACCCATGATAATTGAAGTAAAATAAAACTCTGGTAAGCAGTCAGGCCTCATAGTTCAGTTTTTAGATCACCGGTCCGATAACCTTATGGCCTCTAGTTCGAGCCCCACCGCTGTTCAAATTCTTAATTCACCTTCAGTCACCACCTAGTACTAACTAGTAATCCTTAATATTATAAGTCTTGAACTGTCGCCGAGCTTCTGAGACTTGACACATTCAATATCCCCATAATGTCGTCTGTCAGAGTGTAGTGTTTGAACTTTGCTAGGGTTTGCTCTGGAATGGAGGCAACTAATAATTGAGGTTTTTGTAATATCGTGCATAAAATGATTGAGAAAAACCGGGGAATAACATTTGAAAAACATAATAGAATATGCTTACGTTTAACTAGAAATGCGTTGCAAGGTACTGTTCATCGGGGACCACTGAAAAACTTGGAACACTTGACATCTGTTTCGGCTTGTTATGGGACTCCTCAGCAGTGCACACTTACGAACCCTATCAGGAATCAATGTGACCTTTGTACGTGACCTCATAAACTATCAAAATGTGGTAAACTCAAGTAATAGGTAATTTTTAATAGGCTTTTACACTCTATCCATCGGTGTGGTGTGAGCCACATATACACTGGAAGTCATGTTGAACAAGGACACTATATTTTCCAACCCGGAGAATACCAAAGGTATACCAGTTCAAAAATACTTGGTAGGTAGATGATTTTAGTTGACATATAATCCACATAAACTAATCAAACTAAATAATGTACGATTTCAAAAAAACATCAAAATATTTTGAGACCCTAATCTAAAAAATAGAATCCGGATCTGCCAACGTTGCCAATAAAATTTTCAGTTCACAAACTTACTACTAAATTAACATTTGAGTAGGCTTATTGTCAAATCTTACAATTTTGTAGATATCAACAGTTGCCCACTATTAAATGAGAATTATCAAAACAGACGGAAAATTTCCATTCCCAGTGAATCACGTTTGAATGAATTATCAAACAATCCTTATGGAATGCGAACCAGACGCGCAGCAGTTATAGATGCATCAGATCTATCCTTAGAACAAGGGGAAAATGATGATAGCGAAAGTGTTACGGTTGCAGAGAAGTCTTCAAAATCAGAATTGAGACCAACGGATACAATACATAATAATGGTGAGTTTAGTGAAATTCGTGTCAAATATTCCTTTTTTGGATTGATTATTTTCTAAACTATGATTTACATGAAGTTGGTGATATATATATATATATATATATATATATATATATATATATATATACATGGATAAACTGATGGTACAATAATCAGTAAGCAAAAACACCTTGAAAGTGCTTACAGTTTTAAAATGTATGTGGAAAAGGTGATGATTTTATTATCATTATTATTATTATTATTTTTCCCTTGTGTCCCTAAAGGAACATAAGGCTTTAGTATCACGCCTCCACTTAACTCTCTTCTATGAAGTCTTTTGAACCTCGCTCCGCCACTGCCCACAAGCATTCATTTCTTCCTCACATGATATCCTTCATATCACCCCATGGATTCCACTCGAGGTCCTGGTTCATGATGTCTCCAGTCAGCCTTCTTAATGTATGCTCACTCTATCTCCACTTTCTTATGCGTACTTGTTGGGTGATAAGTTCATGGTTGGTTCGTTATCAGAGTTCCTTTTTGCTTATTCTTGCTGGCCATCTGATCTGAACTTCAGTATCGAGCCAGCGTAGGCTGTTGATGAATGTCTGTAGTTTGTTGAAAATGCTTTTGGTGACACGCCAAGTCCCTGAACCATATAGCAGTAGTGGCTTGACTGAATTGGTGTTGAAAATCCGGATCTTGTTCACGCTTAATTCTGAGTGTAGTAGATCTCCACACTGATTTCAGATTGATGAGGGGTGGTCTGTTTTGCTGTCTTTCAGATCCTGGCTGGCTTTAACTTCCTCATCTGTGCCTGTACCGCAGCCTGTAGTTGGAACGATGCTGTCTAGGTGAAAGAAACTACTTCCTTTAGGTTTCTCCCGTCGATGGTGGTTGGTGACTCTTGTTTTTTATGCTGTTGTTCGTCGGGTACCTTAATCACCTCCTTCTTTTCTACATTGACTTGAAGTCCAGTTTTCGCTGCCTCTTCTATAAACTTGTTGCCTTTCGCCTGTAGATCTTCGAGTTTATGCGACATAAGACACTGGACATCATCATCATCAGTGGTAAAATCCAAATCTTCTAGAGTCTTTTCGTCGGTCAAACAGCGTATACTCATATTGTCATGGCTCCTCACAGTTGTTGCATGATCCAGTTGACCACAATCAGGAAGATGATGGGTGACAGTGGGCGGCAGCCTTGTCTTACTCCTGTCTTCATTTCAGAGATGCCACTGAGCTTTTCACTGTGGATCACTTGGCATATGGCGTTTTGCTATAGCTGTTGAATGAGGTTGATGAAAATTTGTGGCACTCCGTAGTATTGAAGCAGTTTCCAAATTACTTGTTGGTCGACGCTTTCGAAGGTGATGAAAATAATTTAATTTTCCTTGAATTACTGTTGGGTAGTTGGTTAGGAAATACATCTAACACCTCGGTATAACTCATTTTCTGAGAAATTTAGTTTTAAAAACGGTTACATGTTCTGAGAGGTATTTGTTCCAGTCTTCTTGGTTGTATGTGCATACTAACGGCTTCATGTATATAATTCACACAACATCCAGTCAATAAAATAGTAATGGTTCTCACTCCAGTGACCTAAATGAGTTATGTCTTATGCGAACGTCATTTATCGATAGGTAGATATGACAACTTTAGCGACCCTAGAGTATAAAGAAATTTTCAGTAACGTAAATTATATTCTGATGGAAACCATGACTTTCAAGCGGATTCCATTTTGGATTCATAGTATTTGAAGAATTACTGAAACCCAGCGAGGATTAAACAACTGCTTTGTCCTGACTTTCGATTTCCCAGCAATATGCACTTGTGTCGAACATGGGATTGTCAGGCCTTTTACCAAGTGTGATGATATTTAATCATTGGGTTCGAATCCAAAGGTTCACTAATTTTACTACTGTTAATTTATTAGTCACTCTGATCATTATCAGCAAATCCCTTTACTGCCGACTTGTTTGATCCTGTTGATCACATGTTCTCAATAGAACTTTGCAAAGTTAATCTAATTCTGTCTTTGTTTTATCTGTTGAATTATTATTCTATGAAAGATCTGCATTTTAGATGGAAATGAAAACTGAGTTCAACCACCACATCTGACCGACTTCAATAGAACTACAGGTAAAGATAATGTACTAATGAAAACTTATCAGACTAAGGCATTTTCTCCAGTGATTTGAACCTTCATCACTCAGTGGCGAACATTAGATACCTAATCACCAAGTCATTAAGATTATGGCTGACTAGTTGATTGTATACACCGAAATGCAGCCCATTACAGCATCATTTCACCCCGCTAAGAGATCACATTACAAATATCGATCTGTGTTGAGTACTCAGAATTAGATGGCTATATCAGTCATCTGTTGATGATCACTTAGTATACATGGGAATATTTACTCAAAACAGTATAAATACTTATCTTTCTTTTCATTTGTAAAATTAGCTGGAACAAATACTAATCAACATATGACAAATTCAGTTGGTTCTTCAACCAAGAAAACAGACAATGATCGTCGTAAATCAAATCAACTGTCATATTCTACTGAACACACTATGGAATATCAATCATCTCATCCCTATTATCATAAACAGGATATTTCAATGAATAATATGAATGAAACAGATGCTCATTTCTCTTCAATTACTTGTTATTCTGAATTACCTCAGTCTACATCAATGTGTGATGGACAATTAAATATTCAGAATAATAGTAATAGTAATATTAACAATTGTAATTCACTGCCAAGTCCATGGCTTGCTACACCACCGGTTGGACAAAATCATGAAAATGATGATGTAATTTGTTAAATTTTAGTCAATAAAATAAACACATAAAGCCTTACAATATGTCCAATATCTTCATTATAAATTAATTGCATGTTATATGTAACTATTTATGAATATCTTCACCCCAAATTTATGTATAGGTAGAGTTATTTGCTTATAATAAGAATAAAAAAATGTTTATTTTAGAACAAAAACAATGAATAAATTATCATAATATAGACAGAGAATCTTATTTACTATCCACCTTGAAATTCTGTAGTTTCAATTTGAATAACACGTTTGAAATAGACTGGTGACTTTTATCAAACAAATGATGGATTATTATTATTATTTGTCCCTTGGGTTCCTACTGGAGCATGAAGCTTCACTAACACCTTGATATCTCACTCTCTTCTCCGTAGACTCCCCAACCTGGCTCCACGGCTGTCAATAAGCTTTCATTTCTTCCTCATATGACCTCCTCCATGTCATCCTTAGATGCCAAACTCGTTGGTTCCCATCTGTGTTCCATTCGACGGCCTGGCCTGACGTGTGATGCCCTTGAACTGTCTTCTCAGTGTTTCTCCAATCCGACTCATCTCCACTTTCTTCTACATATTTGTTGGGCGATAGGTTGTTGGTTCGTTGATTCGTTGCTAGCAAGATTGGTGTCGTATAAACATCTCGTTGAGCTATCAGTTATAGCTGTAATTTTTAATGCATAATTCACTAGAGTTACTTTTTTTAATCAATTAGTGACTAATCCGTGATGTATTGGAAACCAGTACAAAACACGGAGAATGTTACATTTTGGATTTTCGATTATGATTTAAACGGGCTTTTTTCATAGCGATCTGCTGAAGTTTTATTACATTTTGAAGAACTTTACAGAGCTACCGATAACCGCTCATCTACTGAATAGTCTCAGTTTCACTCAACTATAGAGCATTAATGTTATTGCTTCATCCGAAGTTGGAATCCCGGTGGGAATAACCACTCACTGGGATGCAGATACATCCAGCTAACAAGTGTCAAGTAGGACGAGATACGCATCTTAAATTCCTTGAGCTTGTTACTATCCATCATAACTATAGACCATATTTAGAGTAAGAGAGTGAGAGTTTGACAAATCACTAGCTTCGAATAAGAATGATGTCGATACTTATAAACACGTCAGCTCTTTCACATGACATGAATTCATTGTTTAGTGTATTTTTGCATGCATGCAATCTACCGAAGGTATTCTGATGAAATCCGCTTGTCATCAGAAAGTTTACAATCAGTTTAATGCAGTATTCTTGTTGAATATTTCAATGTAAAGTTGGAGAGAAATAAAAGAATAAGAATACTCCGAATAGAAGTGAATTATAGGCAACTTTATAAGGACTATGCATTAGTAAGAAACAAATGTCGTATCATTTACTGTATAACAATTGGTGTACACGTTTTTGTCATCCCAAGAATGTATATTGCACAACAAATACTCATTAGGAAAAGAAATAAACCCTCATGCTTCTGTGGTTCATACAGTTATACTGACTGTGCTTCAATAAGTAAATCAGTCCTCCTTGTCGAGGTTAATATTCATTACCGATGAACATCATGAAAATTCTCATTTTCTAGATGTTCGTTGACTATTATGCTGCTATGAGTTACATGAAGATGCTGATTTATCATGTTATCTAGTTTGTTTTCGACAAGTGTCAAATGTCAAGTTGACTGTTTTGCGTTATAATGCTGATTTTATTGCTCATCTCAGGCTTTTTTTGACCAGAAAAGTTAGTTAAGACGTTTTAAGCTGCTTTACTTCTTGTTTATATGGCTTAAGCTGATGAATTGGTATCATACAGGTAACATTTAATGTCGCTATGAATCCGTTCATTGTTGTCGTATTACACTGGTTATGGTATTATCCGAAGCAGATGGAAATAACGGCAAACGCTATAATACGTTATGTGCTTTTTTTTAGAAGCAGGTAATAGACCGGTCCATATACATCTATTGTCAGTTTTTCAGTGGAGAATGCTGCAACACCAGTGTTTGTCGACATTTCTTAACGGTTTTGCAGCGTTATGAAATCTAAAAGATTCACTTTATGAAAAGATCAAAGAAGCTTTGAGATAGTTGCAAGTGGTATGCAATACATTATGAATTAGTTGCTTGCCAGCAACGAATATGAACTACCTGGTCACTAAGTCGAACCGAGATAATACAGTCCTAAACGTTGATTACCAATTTGTGGTATTTATTTGCAAGTTTGTATACAAACGAAAGTCCTAAGGGGTTGAATTACGTCTAAAGAAGTTGGATAGCATAGCTCTTTCATTTATTCAGCCCAAAGTTTACCGTTCGTTCATCGGGATTCCGACTGTAGTTCACTGGGGTTGAATTTGTGCTGTTGGATGTCAGGATGATCCATAACCACAGATACGATGATAGGTCCATCAAATCGGGTCAGTATAGCAGAAGACTTTCTGATTGCGAAAAGGAAAATGTGAAGCCTCTAATAAAAAGGCGGGCAGATATTACGCAAGTGACAGACTTTGTGGAACAAAATTTTAATAAGTGACGTGCATAATTTGTGAGCGATTATGAGTGAATGTAAGCCACCGCACAAGTTAACAAATTTCGCAGATGATGTAATACAGAACGCAGTGTACCCAATGCTTAAGGTTAATGGTCGACTCAAGTCCCCCTTATGTGGATGCAACTAGTTAGCTTTTCAATAAAATTTGTTTTTCTTTGCAGTGTCAAGTTGACTTGTATCAAACGTTTGGAGAGGTTAGACTCATAGATGCGAACTAAAATGGCAATTAAGTTGGATAGGTGGAGTTAGTTAGCTTTTGTACCATTTCGTAGTAACTGGTAACTTTTTTTGCATGGACCAGGCAAGAGTCAACGGATGCTCTTATCTGGACTTTGGATTCGTCCAAGAGGTAGGTAATTATCAACAGAAATATAAAGGTTGGTAAACCGAAGATGAAACTCATGGATTTGTGTGACGAATTAAGAATGATTCTTCTAGAAGAATGAAATATGTATGAGCAACTGTGAAGAATTAAGTAAACTAAGGAAGAAAAACAGACTACTTTTAATCTCTTTGCTCGTGTCCCACAGAGGCCATAGATTATCTTCCTCGATAAATTCATCTTATCTGCCTCAAATTTTCTTCGCATTTTAATTCACATTTTCATTATTTATCCCCTTGGTTCCTAGTGGAACATAGGGCTTCAGTAGCACGTCCCCATTTCACTCTCTTCTCTGAAGTCTTTTCAACCTGGCTCTACCATTGCCCACAAGCTTTTATTTATTTCTCACAACATCTTATCCATGTCACCCTTGAAAGCAGATTTCACAGATTTAACACTATAAGACAAAATATAGGGCAAACAGAAGGAGTAGCGTTGCAGACTTTAATATCACAGATTGTAGCAGACATATTTATGAACAGTTGGGAACAACTGGAATTGGAAAAACAGCAAAGTACCTGGAGAATATGGTAGCGAAATTCAGAAGACACATTTACTCCGTTGAAGTGAGAACAAATACAACCAAGACCATCCACCTGAGCTACAAATATTTTCCATCATTTCACAGAGTATTTTGCCCACATCCACTCGATTGTAGATGTAGTCCAATTAACTGACGAGTAAGAAAATGAAGAAGGAGAATTACCTCTATGTTGGACTGCAAAATCAAGAGGATAGAAGATGACAGCCTAGATATCAGTGTTCACAGGAAACTAACACATTCAAATAGATACTTGGATTTCAAATCACTTCACCCCAGATCTGTCGATGTAGGATTGATAAAACGTTTAAGTAATCGGGCTAGGAGTTTGACTAGCAAGTCGGAAAGCCTACAAACACAAAATAAAATACATCACAGAGACACTAGTTCCTAATAACTATACTCCAGTGATAATACTACTGGTGATTGCAACTTGAATAAGGGAGAATTGTAACCCTCTGTAGTGTTGCCATATGCAGTAGCAACATCGGAAACTTTACGTAAAGTTCTTAACAATGCTGACTGTGATTAAGGTGGCGTAGAAACCTACAAACTGGCTTGAAAAGAAACTTTGTGGGCTAAGAGGTCCAATAGAACCAATTGGGAAAAATCACCTAATCTATCAAATACCATTTATAAAGTTCAGTGATACCAGATTTCCAATGTTTCTCCAGCTGATGTCAGCCTATGATGAATGCCACAATAAAGTCAATAAACGATTCCCTACAAGCCTCAAAATTAAATACCAATTTATTGGTAGACAAATGCTAATAGGATTTGAATGAAATTTTGGTTGTCTGGATCAAAATAAGGATTCACGATTAGTAAAGATAATGGTCAAGGAATCGGAGTCAGTCACATAGGTTACAGTTCGAGAGCTGTTTAAGTAGTTATTAAACCTGATATTCACAATGGGCACTCTCTTTAATTTCTTGATATAAATGAAAACACCATGAAACAGCCAAATTCAGTCGTTAGGAATACGCTTATTTGTACTGCCCGATGACTGAAGGACTTCTGCCAGCAACCTCCAGGTTTCCAGCTATGTATTCTACCAGCTTACATATGAAATCCAACTGCTGACTAGATCTTAATTGCCATGTGAATCCGTGATGTGCTCCTATTTATTTTGATGGGTAAGAGAATCCTGCACTATCTCTGCTTTGAATAATGTATTAGGAGACCTCTTCTTTAGGGTTTGGAATATAGTAAGTAATATTACACGCATTCAGAGGATGTACCACAGATCTTGAATGACTCCGCTTAAACATAACCGTGTGCTTTAAGATACCAAGGATATCGACCATTTTACTCATCTTCAACAATTTATCATAAGTATTGAGGAAATCAAACTTTTATCATTACTATTATTATTTGTCCCTTGGGTTCCTAGTGGAACATAGGGATTCAGTAGCACGTCTCAGTTGCACTGTGCTCTCTACAGTCTTTTGAATCTGGCTCCATGTCTGCCCAGAAGCTTATATTTCTTCCTCACATGATCTCCTCTATGTCACCCTGGGACGTCAAACTCATTGTTTCCTATTTCGGTTCCACTCATCTTCAACAGTCTATCATAAACACCGAGATAATGAACGCTTTTCAACCGACTGTTCACATTTGTATAACTTGGTTGTTCTCATATGCATCATGTTGACACCTGAAAATGAATGAAATCACAAGGATATTCGAGATTGCTGTACACCATACTTCTAATTCTTTTATGGCCATTCATAAATAATCCAACCGACCAGACATCTGAGATCATTAATGATGACTGTATTATTGGTAATTTAGATTCAGACGTTCCACTACAA